GAAATTAAAAGTTTGTCTCCCCATGCTTATGAACATTTGATGGAAAGACAACCATCAACATGGTCAAGGGCTTTTTTCAAGATTGATACATCATGTGATGCTGTAGAAAATGGAGTAAGTGAGTGTTTTAACTCTTTGATTGTCCCATCTAGGAGAAAACCTATAATAACAATGCTGGAAGAGATTAGAGCTCTTGTGATGGAAAGAATGGTTAGGATGAACAACAAAGCATGCAACTGCGATGATGAAATCTGTCCAAATATAAGAAAGAAAGTTGAGCAAAATAAGGAGCTAATGCGGTATGTTTATGATTATTCTTCTTTATGCATATAAGGTAATTTGTTTCATAAATATGACATTATGGTTTGCTAATTTTTTTTTGCAGATTTTGGCGTGTTACTCCCAATGGAGGGAATCTTTTTGAAGTAAGACAAGGACTAGAGGGTTTTGTTGCCGACACTCAATGTAGAACATGCACTTGCAGAAGTTGGCAAGTTTATGGAATTCCTTGTCCGCATGCTGTTGCAGCCATATACTTCATTCACCAAGATCCAGCTAAGTTTGTGTCTCCTTTCTTCTCAAAAGTAAAGTTCAGTAATACATATAATCATAGGATCAATCCTTTGAATGGGATCAAACTTTGGCCAAGGACAGATTTTGCCAAACTTTTCCCCCCAAAGTCTAGACGCATGCCTGGTAGACCTACAATAGCCAGAAGGAAAGATGCAAGTGAAGGAAGTAGTCACACTAAAAGAAATGCACATGGCCATGAAGCTGTAGCCAAATCGGGGAGAAAGATGACTTGCAGAAATTGTTTGGAGGTAGGACATAATTCTAGGAGTTGTAAAAATAAAAAAAAAGATGCACCGATTTGTCCAAAAAATCCAGTTGGTAGACCGAGAAAAAACAACATAGAAGAGGAAGATTTAGTTATTGGAAGCAATATAAGAGGAGGGGGTTCAAGAGAAGGGGTTCAAGAGGTAGGGGTTCAAGAAGTACGAGTTCACGAGATACGATTATAGGAGTAAGTATAATAATTGCGATTCACATTGTGTTTAAATGAATCAATATTGTAGCTAAAACTATGTTTATTTTGCAGATTTCACAGGTTAGTTTTGAGACGAGTATACCAATTGCTATTGGAGAAGGTATTTTCAATATGTATAATCACACTTTATTTGCATATTTGCATATATTTACATATTTGCACTAACTTGCATATGTTTACATAGGGCAAATTGATATAAGTGATGCGCAAATTCCTGATGAAGTTCGATCAGTTCCATAGTTTACAGGTGATGGTTGACTTTGATAAGGATGATTCAAGCAGTTGAAGATTGAAGATTTTCAACCATTTTTTGTAACAATGTCTTGTCATCGACTTTATTCTAATCTTGATGATTTGAACGTTGTGAACAAACTTTTATTTTAGTTTGATTTGTCAAATTTGAAACTTTAAAATTGATATGGATTGGTTGGATATAAAAATCTTGAATTTGATATTTATTTTTTATTGCATCAATTAATTTTTTCATTGTATTAGTAAAAAATAATTTTTATTTTGGTAATTTGGACTTTTTTTTTGAAAAAATCTTCAATTTAATATCTGAATTATAAAAAAAAAACGAGATTTAGAATAAAAAATAGATTTTATTACAATAATTTTTGAAAAAAAAATGAATTTTAGTTATTTTTTTATAATTATTTTACAATTTTAAATATGACGTGTAATATTAGTTTTAAAATAAAAAATTAATATGACGTGAAATATTAGTTTTAAAATAAAAAATTAATATGACATTGAATATTAGTTTTAAAATAAAAAATTAATATGACGTGAAATATCTTAGTTGGCAAAAGATGTGGATGATGCCAACATTAACAGGTCAACCAGACCCTTAAATAAACAAAAAGTTTGACAGAGACCCCTAAATGACAATTTTGAAAGTTGGTTCCCCAAAATAGAAATCAGGTGAAAGTTGGTTCCATTTTGGTGCAATTTTCCCTAGAATAGGAGACGAAGTTTTATTGAAAAGAGTTAGGGGCCGTTTACCCAATTGCTTACCCGGTAAACGCTTACCGTTATGAGTCAACACCATGATTTATTTTGATGCGTAAGATTTTAGTATATTAAAACATATCGAATGCAACAATTTACGTCGTCATCCTCTCTTACTGGGTAAGACTCTCCATTATTCTTATCGCTCTTACTCGGTAAGATTTTTGACCCTTCTCATGTTCATCCGACGAGAAAATTTATCCGGTAAATACTTACCAAGTAAGTGTTTAGTAAACGGCCCCTTGCTCATAAAAGTTTCTAATTATTTTCCGGCAACCGGTGATCGGAAAACGACATTTTCCTCCTCCGATTCTTCTAGACTCGCGTCCATCTCATTTGTTCAAATTTCTTGAAAACCGCCTCAAACTAGATCGATCCGCTGAAAGAATTCACCTTAAAATCGATCATGGAAGATTCAGAACGCTCCATTTATTATAAAACAGAAAGCTGTCCGAAACTTACTGTTATCTCCGTCGGTGGTCGGTGGCGGTTGAGGGGGGGGTCCTCGTTTGCAGCATCAGCCGGTGGTTCTTGTCGCCGGCAACGACGGTGAGGAAGAAGTTGAACTATAATTATATATTAATTAACGGTAAAAAAAATGAAGTCAATTATGAAAACGTAATACCAACGTTGTCCGATAAAGGGTTAGGGATGATTGGGCAACCAACCAACCCACTCACCTTTTTAGTCTAATGTTATTCCCGCTTATTTTACGCTACCCTTTCAAAATAATAGATTAAAAATACTAAACTACGATTTTAGTCCCTATGGTTTGTTCAAATTTGTTACTTTAGTCCTTGTACTTTTGAAATTATAGATTTTGTCCCTATAGTTTGTGATTCATTGTTATTATCGTCTCTAAGACAATTCATTGCGATTAAGTAAATGAGGGACAAAAAGAACAATAAATTGTAAGCCGCAGTGATGGAAAAAACAATAAAACATAAACTATAGGGATGGGAAAAACTATGGTTGTTTGAAAAAAACGATTGGATTGTTAAAATCGGTTAAACGAAGTTATACCAGACCGTTTTTGCATTTTGAAGTAGTGATGGCCAAAAACCGGCCCGGGGCCGGGTCGGACCTAATTGGTCTCAAGCTTTCTCATAACCGTCCATAACCGTTCTCGGTCGAAAATGGTAGGACCGGTCAAGGTATTTCATAACCAGTTAAGGGCCACCGGTCTCGGCATTAAAAAATAAGATTTTTTTTTTAATTTTTTAATGATATATATTTTTTATAAATTATAAAATTTACAATTGGGTTACTCAAATACACTTTAAAAATACGTTTTAATATAATTAAAATTACATTGTCTTATAAAAATATATTATAAAATTATTTAAAAATACATTTATTCATAAAATTATTTGAATTTTCGTGCCGGGCCGATTCTTTGCCGGTCCCGGTCCCACAAAGCTACCAAAAACCCAACCGGTCCCAGTTTTCAGTCCCATGACCGGTCGTTACTAGTCCCGGGCCATAACGATTTGACCATCACTATTTTGGAGATAAAAGGTGTTTGGTTCAAACATGGTGGATGAAAAAAAGACTCAAACCGTCTAAATTGGTCAAGCCAGACTACCTTTTTGTGGCTCGCTTTGATCGATTTGTTTCACTTGCTGCTAAACTACTCGATTTGAATTATTTTTTTCCTAAACCGTGCATTTGTAATTTGGGGAGGGGGATAAATCACCCAAACCGGACAATGAACACCCCTAAAAACAAAGTAATTGTACATCACAATAACGAAAACCACAATTTCAAAAACACAAAGGCGAAAATAGCAATTTTCAACAAACTACATGGACAAAAAACGTAGTTTACTCTAGATTAAATTACAGAGTTGGTCCCTGTGATTCTTGGGTTTTCATTCCCTACAAGATTACTACTAATTTATTACAATGTACATTTTTTGTTGGATTCTGATCCCACCCACTAAAAACTGTTATCACCTATCGTTAGTAGGAGTAGAGATGCACGAGGATCAAGCTTCTTCGAGCTTGGGTTCAAGTCGTTTAAACCCTTTTTGAGTAAACATAAAAAATGCATATACTTTTAACCAGACTTTGAATTTTTTTTTGGTCTCGATAAGTTGAATTCAAGTTCGATTGTTTTTTGAGGCTGTATTTTTGGGCTTCTTTGTGCTAAACCGAGCTTTCGAGGCCGGACTTTAACCAGACTTATGATTTTTTTGGTGGGCATAGCCCCAACAGTGGGTTTGCTAGCAATAGCGAATCCATAAATTTTGGTAACAGATATCGAAATTCAAATTTACAAATTTCTAAAAATTAAGAGTAGACGTATATCAATAAAAAATCAAAAATTGAAAGTTTACGAGATGATCCCAGCTCATAGACGGACTTAGAGGTGTGGTTAGGTGGCACGTGCCATCGTATTGTTCCTCCGTAGTAAGGTAAAAAAAATTAGGTTCGTGAAAGGTGCAACCGTTTAATTCTAAAAAGGTACAATTGTTTTATATGGTGCCACTGTCTCCAAAATTTTTTGGATCCGTCCCTATCCCAACTCTTGGAAATAGATCTGCCCTGTTTTTTGGGTCCTACCTTTTCTGGACCATTCCTCAAACTTTTTTTTTTTTTAATGCATTTCTAAATGAGAGGGACCAAAATGAAGCAGAAATGCATGTAGCAAGCTATTTTTTGAAATAAATGAACCATAGGTACAAAAAACACGAGACCACAGGGACCAATTCGTAATTTACTCAAAAATAACATCAATAAGATGCCAAGTCAGCCTCTTAACTATATAATTAAATTAAATTAAATTAGAAAAATGAAAAAGAAATCCCTCCATCGTTCTCCCCAAGTCATTTTAGGGATCTCTCTCTCTCTCTCTCCCCACGCTCTGCAACCATCCATCTATCTCCTTTGTCTTAACGAAGAAGAAACACGCACTCACACACACACACACACACACTCACACACATACGTATACACTTTCTCTCTCTATACGTATAGATTACTCACATTGTTACTTTCTCTCTCTACAACACCTTCTCACTCACTCACACTGCAGAAATATAGTGAAACATTGTCCTTCACTTTACTAAGTAGGCACCATGTGAAACTCTGACAATTATCTCTCTCATATATTTGTATCTCACTAGCTTTTTGGCGGATTCCGATTGATTGTTAAATCAGAGAGTTGGATCGGTAAATGGCAGCTTCTTCATCAAGGGGAAGAAGCAGTTCACCATTCCACCACCGGAAGCCGTCGAGTACTTTTTCATCATCTTCATCGTCGTCGTCTTTTAAGCAGCTCATTCCTCGCTCCTGCTCATCTTCCGCAACAACGTCCTTCTACCCGGCCTCTGGTAACGGCTACGGTTCCAGATCCATCACTCCTGGTCCGACTAGGTCTGATTCGATGTATTCCAAAGGAGGATATGGAGGCCGTTCGCCGGTAGCTTTTCCGTCTCCTGATGAGCTGATAGGAGAGCCGGTTGATAGTGTGCCGAGATCGGGAGGAGGAGACAGCATTTCTGTGACGATTCGGTTTAGGCCTTTGAGGTAATTTGATTTATCGATGGATCCATTTGGAATTGGTTTTAGATCTATACATTACGTTGATTTTCGGTTGGTTAGGGTTTTGAGAATATGGCGGTGACATTTTGACTAATTTGTTGACATTGTAGTGAACGAGAGTATCAGAGAGGAGATGAGATATCTTGGTACGCGGATGGAGATAAGCTCGTGCGCAACGAGTACAATCCGGTGACTTCCTATGCTTTTGGTACGAAATTTGGCTTTTATCCTGTATTAATCAATGAAACAGAGGATGTAATAATGATTAAAATTGAACATTGAAGTCCATATTTGATACTGTTAAATCATGTATATGATGACACGACAGATAGAGTTTTTGGATCCTCTGCCGTCACCCAGGAAGTGTATGAAGTTGCCGCTCGACCTGTTGTGAAGGCTGCTATGGAAGGAGTAAACGGTGCGCTACAAGTAGATCAAATTAAATAATCCAATTGCACTTATTCACTGATGGTTTATTTACTACTACTGAATCACGGTGGGTTGAATAAAGCACTTGTTGTTTGAGCTAATTTTAGACTGCTAATGCAGGCACTGTCTTTGCTTACGGTGTTACAAGTAGTGGGAAGACACATACAATGCATGTAAGAGAAGTTTCTACTCCTGTCATGTTATTAGTGCTAAATGATTTTTGAAGTTGTGTATTGAATACTGTCATCTAAATAAGGCAGTAAGTAAGACCGTAGTCCTCTTAAACATTTTCTTCATGATATGAATAGCATGCGGTAATTGGCAATGGGGGTAGTAAAGACAATGCTAAGCCCTTATTGGTTATACGCAGGATTTAACTTTACAGTATTAAAAGTTGCTCACTGGATTCTGTTGTTGCTGTTCATAACAATAAAATGAGCAATGTATGCTTTTCATGTCAACTAAGAAGCTTGGAGGGGGGGTGGTTTGTAGTATGATTTATGAAGGAATGAAATCTGTCAAAGGAATTGGAATCTGGAAGGAATTGGAATGAAATGTTATCAGGTTTGACCAAGTGTTTGGTTGGCAGGAATGGAATGCAATCTGTCTATTGAATTGGAATCTACTTGTTTGGTTTGCAACATAATTAGAATGAAATGATGAAAAAAGACAAATATTTCTTTGATCTTCTTTTTAAAATTTTAATTTTTTTAAATTACATTACATATGGAGAACAAATTAAAACAACCAAATCAAAACATTGCTAGGCTCTCCCTAAAGTATCAATTGTTACTCAGATACCCAAAATTGTTCATCTATTTGATCCTTCCATTCTCTTCTATACCTCTGTCTTCTTCTCTTTCTTCTTACCTATGCTGTTAAAATCGCGATATATCGGATATCGCTCAAAAAAAAAAAAATCGGAACTCAAATATCGGTCAAAATATCGGGAACGATATTAT